TTGGGTGTATCAAACATTTCAATTAATGATTCAGACCGTATAAGGTCCACAATGCTTTCCATCCATTCAATGAAGAAATCTACAATGTTTATGCAATTTCGTTCAATATTGTAAATATTAATAGAAAATACATTACAAAAATATATGAAAACGTTACAATTTTATCAACCCATTTTGTAAAAAGGTTACAAAATAAGTTTTCAGTAAAAAATGAAAAAAAATTGTTTAATTATTTTTCAATATAATTGAACTCGCATTTTTCTTGAATTTAGTGAAATATTCAACAATATTGACTTTGGACAATTCTATTAATTCCCAACTACTTTACATATTACATTAAATTAAATAAACCAAATCAATATTAACTACATTTCCATTCATAATTATAGAAGAATATGGTTTATAGTTTCTTTTATTGGAAGTAAAGTACAGTTAAACAGTTAACAGCAATCATAAATTATACCTGTTTATACCCATCAGGTACATAGCTATGGTCAGCTTACGAGAGTTAAGCAACAGGCTGTGCGATAACACCTAAGCGGATGGATAATCTTTACAAACTCTCCAATAAAATATCATAATTGCCTTAAATATCAAACATTTCAATTAATGATTCAGACCGTATAAGGTCCACAATGCTTTCCATCCATTCAATGAAGAAATCTACAATGTTTATGCAATTTCGTTCAATATTGTAAATGTTAATAGAAAATACATTACAAAAATATATGAAAACGTTACAATTTTATCAACCCATTTTTTAAAAGGTTTACGAATTAAGTTTTCAGTAAAAACTGAATAAAAATTTCTGAAGTTTTAAAAATAATGTCAAATTAAAACAGAAAACAAGATTTGAAAAAAAAAATTGTATATTTTTTAGCTTAATTTTTCAATATAATTTCCAAATTGAACTCGATTTTTTCTTGAATTTAATGAAATATTCAACAATGTTGACTTTGGTTTGGTGTTGGAACTTTTACTTTTCTGTTTTTGGGATTGATGCAGAAGTAAAGAGGTAGTGTGATTTATCGGTGAAATTGGTTAGATAAGAGTTTGGTGAAATGTTTCGGGTTCGATTTTAGTGGTACAGAGAGAAAAAGAATATAGTGAAGAAATCGTATCTACTGTTAGGTCTATGCTTTTGTTATACAACGGACGCCCACTGTGACATTTCGTTTGATCATTTTTACGGACGTTGGGCGTCGTCGGTCGGTTGTCGCTGGTGTTATGAAGTGTGTATGAGGCAAGAAGCCATAATAATACCACATTCGTCTGCAATCGGTGCGACGAACCCAGGACCTCCACCAAGACGCCGTGGCCTTTGACCCAGAGACCACGACGAAATCAGCATTTCCGGACTCATCGAACGGCAATTAAATCCTTAAAGTGAGGAAAATCGGTGGAGAAGCAAACGAGACCGATCGACGTAAAATTGCCTCGATTCTTTCTCTTCCTGGTGCTCTGTGTCTCTCCATTGTTTCCAGCTCGAACAAAAGGGCTGCGATATTACGAGATGATATCGTTGGCGTATCGACAACGACCATCACCTCACACGAGTATAAATAAAAGAAGCGTACTTGCTCTTTTTCGCTTGCTTTCTGCACGAAACTCAAAGTAGGCCTCACTCTTTATTTTTTTTTTGTTGCTGTTGCCGCATCTATCCTCATTCTTCTTTCTGCTGCACTCGCTCGTTGAATTTAGGTTTCCGTAATGGACTTTTACAGGCTAATGGTCCATCATTCATCTCTACCATTCTTGACCTTTCAGATGGACGGTACCGTTTTCGATGAGGGCACGCAACGCACACGCAATTTCGTAACGCGTTGAGTTATGACCGTTCCGGTATCATCGATACAACATACATATAGAAAATACAATAATCCTCGTGAAGAGGTTGATTTTCAATTGGCCCAAATTACCGCCATCCATTTTGCCGTAATTCAATTAATCTTTTCCCGTCACGGAAGTCCTCATCCGCCATTTATATCCATCCTTATCATTATCATCCGCGCTTCATTAGTTGTCATTAGGAGATTGGCCATTATTACTCATTCAATTTTCATTCCTCACGTACAAATTATCAAGAGCGATCGAAGTTCTCGTTTTGCTCGGAACATCGAACGCTTTTGCATCGCTCTTAGAGGAGACAAAAGAACGTGTTAACACGATTGATTTCTTTGTCTCCTCTCTACCATCACCTTCCAGTTCGTTTGCCTTCGTTCCGATCGGATTGCGGTCTTGAGTGCATTAGACAGATTGTGCGGTTACGTAACGTTCGCTAAGTGAAACGCGTCATCTGATTTCATCCATTTTGATTTCAATGTCTTCATTGTTATTATTAATGCGATATAAATTATTTAGCAGGCGAAAGTTCGATTCGATTCGATTTGAATAATAATCATTGTGATTCGCTTTATTACGTTTTGCATATATATCTCAAGCTAATACCACCTGACGTCGGCATGACTGCTTCCCGTTGTTCATCCATTTTTGGATTATCCAATACAATTCTATTAATTCCCAACTACTTTACATATTACATTAAATTAAATAAACCAAATCAATATTAACTACATTTCCATTC